TGATACACGAGGTGTGATTTACATGGCCTAGTTTTAAAGTTCAAAATGTTTAAACGATGTACCGAAAAAAAGAACATGATTACTTTAACGTGCTATGACTTAAAAACACTAAGTAGTATTTTTGTGATCTAATGTGATGATAAGTGTTACAGTTTACTCCGAGCATTACGTAGTCGACAAACTTGGAATGGTTTAGTGGAAAGCGTGGAGCTGTAGCGCTTGCTTTTTAGTATGCTGTCGGCTTATGACGCCGCGGACTTATTATTTGTCGCTGCTACTGATCACCATTAGATACATGAGGAAAGTAAATTTATCCTAAACATTGGCTCAGAAACTATTTTGTAAGAATGAGTTTTTACATTTTTAATTGGTTGCGAAAAATGCCGGAAAACCGAAGTATAACTGATGAAAGTGAAGTAGAGCCAATTAGTTCTGACATTGAAGAGAGTATTTAAGTTTACATGAGGATTGGAGCATACCAGAGGTTGTCGTGTAGCCGCAGCTCAGTATTTGGTGCCCTAGAAAGGCGAATGGTGTACCAAGAGTAGTGCTGCATTTCTTGAAATTAAGTTCCGACTGAGTATTTTTAATGTTTTCTTTTATGTGTTACAGTAGCACGTGTGATGTGATTACAAGTGCGTGAGTATGTGCCTTGCTGGTCGTAACGGACTGCCAGGTCCAGCTGTAACATGGCCTGGTTTCGGCAGATGCGTATGCGCGTATACGCAGGCGCCATCCCGGAGCGCGCGTATGCTGTACATGGCGATGCCTCTGAAGTCGTGTACTCTGTATGCGTGGGAGTCACACTGTGCGCGGAAGTCGTATGCTGTGTGCACGGTAATGTTTTCTGAACATGTATTAGGCTCTGTCCTGGCAGGCGCTGTCCTGGTTCACGTTTTTAATGTGGTTCACGTAGTTAACGTGGGATCTCGCAAGTTCAAGTAAGAGTATGTGTCAGATACTTCGTATGAAGACCTATGTTTACTTGTGAAAGCGAAGTGCTTTATTATAGTCCAAGGTATGAGGACGAATTTCTTTTTTAGGGCCTCGTATGTGTGATAGATGAGAGAACAGGCAACTGTGTATGTTGTCCTTATAGTTAACAATTTGTTTTTTCACGCAGATCATGATGACTACAACCCCGACGATGCTTGTAAACCCTCAGGTGCTCCTGCTGCTCTCGTTTTATTGTAATTTGATAATTCACGCGAAACATGATTATCATTTGCTGTATTTTGAAGTTCAAAACTTTTAAAGGTTGTACTACAATAAAGGATTAACTTTAACACGCTATGAATTAAAAATAATAAGTGACATTTTTGTGTTCTAATGTGTTGATCAGTGTTGCAGTTTGCTCCGAATACTGTATGGTCGATAAGATTGGGGTTTGATGTCGAGAGATTCGTAGAAGTCTCTACAACAATGATCAATGAGGAAGATGTTGTGACGGCTAATCGAACATGGTCAGGTACGGCCGAGCGCTAGTAAGATTGAGCCTACACCGCTACAGTCTGTAACTTATCGGCAGATCTTACGGCAAGACAATTCAAGCGGCCGCCGAACACATGGTCCTTCGGTGCTGTAAATGAACGTCTGAGGCTTGGTCGGGTTTCCTAGATTTTGCGCAGTTGCCTCCTTCCCTTTGAAATATGTGATGATATCCGTCTCTACACATAGTTTCCGTTTTTTGCAATGTTTTCAAATGTCATACAGTTGCCGTTTCTTAAGAGAATATGTGATAAATTTTGGAAGCTCGGAATTCCATGGTTCGCAATACACTTATCTCGATTTCTTTTAATTTTGCAAAGCAGTGTTACGATTCGCTAGCGCTAGTACGGCGCGACTGCTTGCTGGCGCGAATGTGGCACGAACGCAGCAGAACGAAAAGCTGTAGTGCGTTTGTCTGGAGGTAGCCATATCGGCGTGTTCCAGACTTAAATGAAGTCTGGGATGTTCGACCGTTGTAATATTTAACAAGAGTTAATATCTGTTAGCAGGTGGTGATAACTGATAGACCGTATGCTGTTCACTGTCAACCGCACGAGGACGTGCGACAGTCAGAGGTAGCAGTGTCTGTGCATCTAGAAAATACTAGAGACGTTGCAATACTCTAACGAAGTAATTATTCTAGTGCAGGAAAGGAACATGAAGTTGCAGGGAGGCTGGTCTGTGCTGCACTGGGATATGTGTCGATTTGCTGTTGGTTTACATACTTAGGTGTTATCGTGTCACTACGCCCCTCACGATACACTTTTGTGTGATTGTAACGGGGACATGTTTGCGGTATGGTTGGTCTGTAACTGTTCTATACTGAATTGAAAAAAAAAGAGAGTAAGAAAAAAAATGTGGTTCTTACTATCATTGCAGGGCGTTTGCCGGTCCAATGATATAGCTAAAGGGAATAGTGATTCCGGACTAGCATAAATAGTACTTGAAAAAAAAAAGCGTAAGAAAAAAATAGTTCTTACTATCATTGCAGGGCTTTGTATCCAATGATATGGCTATAGGGAATAGTTATTCCGGACTAGCGAAAACAGTACTTGGAAAAAAAAAGAGAGAAAATAGAAAAGGCTACAGACTAATCATTCCGATCTAACATAAAGATGATTAAGGTTTTGTAGGGCTTATTGCCGGAACAAAACTGACTGTCACCCGAGTCTGAAGGGTCAATATAGACCGGACCAGACGCTGTTTTGTCAGGATAATCGAACGATGTTTTACAGATTACAGTTGTTACAGATAACTAAAATTGTGATGGAGCGCGTGCGAGGACGCACGCGTGTCAGTATGGCCATGACGGCACCTGCACGTTGTAGATGCGGTGGCGTTGGTCTAGCTAGGCAGAATTCTTGTAAACGACACGTGTACCGCACACCTGCGGCATTGCACCTGCGCGGCCGCCCGTCCTGCTTGTATAAAACGGACTGAGCGGCCGCCGTTAAAACAGTCTTGGCTCTGACGTGGAACGGTACGCTTGTCGTATTCCGTTACTAGTTTATCCTCGACTCGTTGGATAATTAATTCGTGGAAACGAATTAATTATTATTCCAAAGTACAAAATCAATCTCTGTACTATACCCACTATACTTCCTACATATATATATATATATATATATATATATATATATATATGTTAAAATCGAATAAATATTATGAAGAAAGAAACAAGGACATAGAAACACTTGATTTTCATAAAGAAAAGAAATATATAATATAATTATATCGATAAACTCAGTGGAAGCCTCAAAAAAAATTAAATCACAGGTATATACTTGTACATCCGTAAGATAGCGTAATAAAGTATATACTTTATTACGCTATCTTTGAGCAACGCCATTTTTCTAACGACTTCAAACAGGAGAAGGAAGTCGACTGTGTTTTTTTATGTGTGTTACCTCATAACCTTCTGGGTGAACTGATTTCAATGATTCTTTTTTTATTTGAAAGCTGGTGCTTCACATTCACATTTTTATTTTTAGTTATTGTTGAAAACAACTTCGCCATAATGTTCACTATATATCGAAATTATAACATAAAACGTAATTTTCGCGCATTGGACTTTGTGGGATATGAAAATTTGTGTTTATTACATGATTTATTGTGATAACTCACACTTTTTATTTACTTTTCAGTTAATTCTGGCTATTAAATATAGTGATACGTGAACGACACAGTATTTGAAATGGCAATTTTATAAAATATATGAAATTGTTACGAAGCAAAATATAAGGAATTAAATTTTAAAACAGTGTAATTACTTACCATTTGTATAAAAACTAACAAAAAACTTTCTATTGTACCCACTTAATTTTTTGTAAAATTTCTAGTTGCCTCTTACACTCACGCGGCGAAGGATATGACTAAAGTATGTGACGTAAACGCGACGCGAGGCGGAAACTCGTCATTTGAAGTAAATTCTGTTAATTTAAAGAAGCGTAATTTAATAACGAAACTAATTCTAATAAAATTTTAGTTTTATAGTTCATCTAAATAACATTTAAAAAATAATTGTTATGAGCACAATAACTATGGTTCTGACTAGACGTAGTGTAGTGATCATATACTCTTTGGTTCTGAGGGGTTCTTTCTAAATATTACCATACTCTTTGGAGCGTTCTACAAAGTTGACCTTGGATTGCCTCATGTGTACTTCAAAGGCTTGACAGATTAACCACATAACAATACTTCGTTACGAAAACCTAATGATAAATAGGTCAAGTAGGTATCAATACGGTGCCGAGATCACATTCGCATGAGTCCATACTAGACACAGACACTCGACTGCATCATAATCATATGGTCTCCATTCGCATCGAGTATTTATATATACAAGTACGTAGTGTATAAAATCTGCCTAGTATTTGGTTGAAGTTCCCGGCACTAGTCCCGATTAGTCTCGAGTATTGACAGACAAAGATAGAAAGACTGTGGAATAGTGTAGTTAAAAAAGGACAGAATATATTCTTACACAACATGAGTGTGCGTCGCGTTACTTTTATATATGTACATTGAAATATAGTTTAAATTCAAATGACTGATACGCGAATGATTTATGAAAACACGAGTGAGCGGCGAAACAGTCTAGTAACTACGGCAACAAAATGCTATTTCGCTTCGCCGCTCCGGTACTTGTTCGATTCGAGCGTTCTATCGTGCGACGTGTAGACACAGTGAGACAAGGTGGATCAAATCTTAAAAGTTGGAACAGGTGCAACCTAGTCTCGTTTAATACTTAGTGTCTGGATCTGTTCTAGTATATACGCTTCATCTCTAGTTACAAATTACATTTACTGTAAACCTGTTTTAAAGCATGACATTTTTTTGTGTTTCTGAGAGAACTAAGTTGATGTTTGGTTCAAACATTTTAAGAATGAATGAAAAATAATATAACCTACATAATTTCATTATACTTTTGTACTAAGCCAATTATCTAAGTGAACATTCCAAATATATTTCAATAAAAAGTACAGTTTATATAAAAATAAGAAAAATTGTGTTACCTTGGGTCATATGTCAATGGTTTTGCTTTCAAAGTTTTGAAAATCATTTGATAATATTGTCTGTACTTTTTCCTCATTATTAAAACAATTTGTTTCCCTTCAAAGGGAAATTTGGCACCGAGGGCTTGAAGTTCCAAGTGCCAGTATACTGCTGCTTTTGCAACTTCAACATTTGTGGAATCTATTTCTACTATTTTTGGATGTTTTAACCATTCATACATGTCTTCCTAAAATCAAATATAGTAAAATAATTATCCATTTATGTATACCTACTCATTTCCCCACCTTTACAGTATATTATTATCTGAGTTATTGAGTCATAATAACAATGGGAATGTGCCAACGATTTTCGAAATATCGATAATTTGGTATGAGTCACACAAGCCCCTAATATGCACGCTGATTTCTGAGTGGATTTGTAAAGAAAGTGATAAACATAAGGTATGTAGGTAATAAGAATCCAGTGGATATTATTATTATTATATATCATTCATCTTCATTACAGCCCTTCACAAGTCTACTGCTGAACATAGGCCGCCCCCAAGGAATGCCACAAAGCACGGTCCTGAGCCACCTGCATCCATCGAATTCCTTCATATCTTACGAGGTCGTCACTCCATCTAGTGGGGGGACACCCTACACTTCGCTTGCCGGTACGAGGCTGCCACTCGATAACCTTTTTTCCCCATCGGTTGTCGGTTCTTCGAGCTATATGGCCGGCCCATTGCCACTTCAGCTTACTAATCCGTTGGGTTATGTCGGTCACTCTGGTTCTACTGCGGATATCCTCATTTCTAAGTTTATCACGCAGAGAAACTCCGAGCAAAGCCCTCTCCATAGCTCGCTGAGCGACCTTGAGCTTCCTTATCCCGCCGGCAGTGAAGGACCACGTCTCAGTTCCATATGTCATCACTGACAACACGCACTGGTTGTACAGTCTCGTTTTCAAGTTTTGAGGTATACCTGACGAGAAGATGTGCCGTAATTTCCCGAACGCTGCCCAACCGAGTTGAATCCGTCGATTGACCTCTCGGTCGAAGTTGGACTTACCTAGTCGGACTATTTGTCCCAGGTAAACATACTCGTCAACAACTTCAAGCTTAGTGCTCCCAACAACTACCGGCATAGGTGTGACATGGACATTAAACATGATCTTTGTTTTGTCCACATTCATCTTAAGACCTATCCGTTGGGAAGCACTATTGAGTTCATTGAGCATAGTGCTTAGGTCCCCCAGCGATTTTGCCATAAGGACTATATCGTCGGCAAATCGAAGGTGAGTGATGTACTCGCCATTCATGTTGGTACAGTATCCTTTCCAGTCCAGAAGCTTGAAAACGTCTTCCAATGCAGCGGTGAAGAGTTTCGGGGATATGACGTCACCCTGTCTTACACCTCTCTGCAATTGGATTAGTTTCGTACTCTGGTTCTGTACTCGGATAGCCATCTTAGCCCTACTGTACAAGCACTTCAACACTTCGATATACCGACAGTCAACTTGGCACCGCTGAAGGGACTGCCGCACCGCCCAAATTTCGACGGAATCAAAGGCTTTCTCATAGTCCACATACGCCAGGCATAGTGGCAAATTGTACTCCTCGGACTTCTGTACAACTTGCCGAAGGATATGTATGTGGTCTATGGTGCTAAAGCCCTTTCGGAAACCGGCTTGTTCGGGAGGCTGGAAGTCGTCATGTCTGCGCGCGAGACGATTCGTAATGACTCTCGAAAACAGCACGTAGACGCGGCTCAGAAGGGAAATCGGTCTGTAGTTCTTCAAGAGAGCGTTGTCACCTTTCTTGAAGAACAAGACCACCGCACTTCTGCTCCACGCCTCCGGTGTAATGCCACCATGGAGGACGGAATTAAAGAGCTTCTGAAGGACTTCAAGTAAAGGTTTTCCACCCGCTTTCAGAAGCTCCGCTGTAATTCCATCCTCGCCTGGGCCCTTGCCGCTTTTAAGGTGCTGGAGAGCCATTCTAATCTCGCTCAGACTGACGTCCGGGATATCTTCGGAATAGTTTCGGATAAGACTCGCTCTTGGATCGTTACTCACACTTGCGTGTGGCTCCAACGATGATGTTTACAGCTGCCTATAGAACCTCTCAATCTCACTCAAAATCTCAGGTGTCCTGGAAACGACGCTGCCACACTCGGTCTTCAGCTTCGACAGTTGGCTCTTTCTGGCAGACAGATCTCTAGCAAAGACTTTGGAGCCCTGGTTCCGTTCGATCGCTTCTTCAATACGAGCAGTATTAAAGTTGCGTAAGTCCCGCCGCATGCATCTGGAGATCTGTCTGTTCAGTTGCCTATATGCTGTCAAATCTACTAAAGACTGCAGCTTCATATCCCGTCTAACAGCCATGAGATTAAGAGTGTGATCGGAGAGTTTTTGTGTTCTTCTGCGGCGGGTCTTGCAAAACTTAGCTCCGACCACATGGACAGTTTCCACGAGCTTGTCATTCATATCGTCCACTGCATTGCAATCTTCTAGGCACAGAAAGCGGTTTCGTAGCTCGAGCTGAAAGGTTTCGGGACTTTGGATTAGAACACGAGGGGGACGGAGCGTTGACTTCATTAGACGTGACCTCTTCAACTTAACGTTTAGGTTCAGTGTGTCTCTCACCATTCGGTGATCGCTGCCGGTTTTCACCCTCGCGATTACTGAGACATCACTGAACAGTTGTCGTCTGGTCGTCATAATGAAGTCAATCTCATTTTTTGTCGAACCGTCGGGGCTCAACCAGGTCCACTTCCTGTGGGGCCGCTTCTGGAAGAAAGAGTTCATCATAAAGAGTCTCTCTTTCTCCATGAAGTCGGCCAGCTGCTGGCCCCTTGGGTTCCGTTGCTCTATTCCGAATTTCCCTACTTTCAGCTCACCGTTCTCTCTTGTGCCTAGTTTTACGTTGAAGTCTCCCATTAACACCGTATAGTGGGTTTTGGAGGAATGCATGGCTCTAGAGATATCCTCATACATTTCCTCCACCTCCTCATCGGGGTGTGCCGAGGTTGGTGCGTAAACCTGTATGACCTTCAGCGAATACCGTTTGGTGATTGTGAGCATAAGGTACGCAATCCTCGTCGACACACTCCCAATCTTTACAACGTTGTTAACGAGAGACTTGTGGACGATAAATCCGACACCTCCTTGGGACAGATGGTCGCCCTCCCGGTGATAGAACCAGCTGCCGGATTCGAGGATTACCGTGTCCTTCCCCTCTCTTCGGACCTCGGATAATTCTATGATATTCCAGCTCAACTTGTCTATCTCTTCTTGCAACTCCAGGATCTTCTCGTCAGTCACCAGGTGCGTGCGTTATAAGTTGCCAGGTCGAATCGTCGTAGGTAGCAACCAAACCTCCACCGGAGATTCTTAGCACCCCCTGCCCCGCCGTTACCATGGTCGCCACCGTAGCCAGGAATAGCGGGGCCGCCGGGGACTGGGAGCCGTCTCTTATTATATATATTTATATATAATATTAAATTATATAGTATTTAATATTCATTCACTAACATGAAATTCATGTTAATAATATATAAAAGCGATATAAATGTACAAATAAATCAAAATAAATTTTTTCATTTTAATCTTAATCTATCAAATAAAGCTTATTTTGATTGTATAAAATTAATTAAATTTGCATAATAGTTTTGTATAGGTGTAACGTGATATTGCTCAGTTTACTACCTACTAGTAAAATCACATTACAATTTATAGATATACATTTGCTCCTATTGCGCACTAAGGGCGCTTTTAGTGTCACGCGGATTTGCTCACGCACGCGGGATTGGACCGCATGCGTAGCATCCGCAAAGAACAATTTCATATAGGTATCTATTGTAAAGCGTGATAAACGCACGCGGGACGCGGGGCGCTGTGCGGGGCGTCACCCCGGTGCGGGGTATCCGCATGCGTAAGCGCTGCCTACAACTTCAGTGCCCATTTTAGAGTCGAGCGGGGCGCACGCGCCGTATTGTACTACCGAAATGAAAATCGATACAGAACGAGTAATCATTGAAGTTCATCTGCGGCCCGTTTTGTGGGATAAACGCAATGAATTATACAAACACAGGGACGCGAGGGAGGCTGCATGGAGAGATATTTTGAAGGAATTGGCACCTAACTACGAAAATTTGAGCGAAGAGGAAAGAAAAGAGGCGGGTATGTGTTTGGTTCATTATTTTATTTATACAAGCATCATTACTTTATTAATATAAGCATAATTATTTAATTCACAAATAACATCAAAAACCTTCTAAAACCTTTTGAGTTTAGTTAATTAATTATATATAGGTGTTGCCAGGAGACTTTTCCTTCATTGATAAAGTAATCTGCAAATATATCTCTGATATTACTTGCCGACGTATTACTACTTTCAGTCTGCTGCCTGGGTAGTGGTCCCGTAAAACCATTTGTGACAAATGTATGGCTGACCTTGTAGCCATCCCGTTTCCTTATGAAATTGTGAAGTACACATGCCGTCTTGACTATTAATTGTGCTAGATCTAACTTGACATTCATGGATCTGTGAAATATTCTAAATTTATTTGACATAATTCCAAAAGTGCATTCTATGTACCTTCTAGCTCTGGACAGACGGTAATTAAATATTTTCTTTTTGTAAGGTAAATTATCACGAGCATAAGGCCGCATCACATGTGATGATAAACCAAATGCCTCGTCTCCCACTATCACGAACGGCAACTTTGCTCTTACACTAGATGGATAAGCTACTTCGGGGCAAATAATAGGCAACTCTTGCGGGTCAGGGATACCCAACGTGTTACTTTCCAGTTTCGTATACAATTGACTCCTTCTAAAGATGGTTGAATCGGCGTTGCTTCCACTGGTACCGACATTAATATATGTAAAATTATAATCAGCATCACACATTGCGAGGAGCACTACAGAATAATATTTCTTATAATTAAAATATAGTGATCCACTGTGCGGCGGCCGAATCACTCTTATATGTTTTCCATCAATTGCACCCAAGCAATTAGGAAAATTTGTATATGTGAGAAATCCCTCTGCGATTTCTTTCCATTTGATCCCATTAAGCTGTGGAATACATTCAGACTTTAGTTCAATCCATATTATGTAACAAACTTGTCTTACTATTTCGCTAATTGTTGCAATTCCAATCACATAGGAATAGTGTAGATCAGTGAATGTATTACCAGTTGCCAAATATCTGAAAACAAAAACAATATATTAATAATATGATAACATAATATATTAATAATGCTGACATCAGACATAAGACAGCATGCACCGCTCGAATTTTACTTCAGAAGAAAAATAAATACCCTTAAGGTGAAAGGGCACGGAAGTAGCTAGCGCTAGAAGTTTTTAATTCGTTTTAACTACAGTACTATAGCTACGTTAGATTTCTATGATTTGCCGAAAATTTTATCATAGGGGGGTATTTATGCAGTTATGATTTCATATGAAAAGTTCGAAGTATAGTTATGTATCTCATATCTGCTAAAAGTGGCCACTTTTAGCAGATTTGAGACACATAACTATGCTGTAAATATTTTATAAGAAATCTTCTCTGTATAAATTAACCCCTATGGTAAAATTTCCGGCAAATGAAAGGAATCTAATAAATATATATAATATAATATAATGAAATATCGTTTATTTCAGGCAATATTTACATTACAAGATGTCCTCCTTCATGAAGGTTGACAGATGCAAATAAAGCAAATTTTTGTTAAAACAAATTAAAAACTTACAGCGCTAGTGACTTCCGGAAGTTTTCACCTTAATTTTGATGATGGCAAATTTTACTGTAACAAATAAACAAATTGCCCGATTCAATCCGGTGTTTTTCCAAAAATCCTTAAATGAAGTTCTAATTATTTTTGTAAAAAATGAATTATTTCGTCGATGTCTGCGCCGCGCCGCCCCGGCCGCGCCGTCTGCGTCTAGTATAAGATTCACTTTGCGCTATCGTTCGCGGCGAAATTGGGTACTTTTCCTTCAACTGCGGCCTTATTTTTCCACTCTGTATAGGTATATATATATTGCTTGATTTATCTAATGCTTCATGAGACAGTGTAAAGTTGACAACATGTGTGAATTAAGGAGGGCCTTTAATCGAATGCAGTTAAATTTCCAACTAATATCAGATTTGTACACACGGCCACAGATCAAGCTTCCCAAAACCAGTATAAACAGGACTCATGCGTTGTTTATTATCGTAGACGACTCGGCGCCCGGCGAGGCCCTAGCAAGTTCCGTTTATTGGTACTGGTTTTGGGTAACTTGATCTGAAACTGTGTGTACTTTTGCCACTTACTTATTATATTTTGTCATTTCAGACAAGAAAATACAACAACGCTGGCGAACAGCAAGGGACACTTACCAGAAAGACAAGATATCTGAAAAAAATCAGCCATCCGGCTCTGGGAGTAAGAAGAAGAAGAAGAAATATTCTTACTATGACATTTTGACTTTCTTAGACAGTACAACGGAAACTGCTGGAGAAGAGTCACTCTGTGAAGAAATGTCTGAACAAAGTAATTTAGAAACACCTAATGAGTCCACGCAACCAGATACTTCACGTCAAGAAAGTTCTCACCCAACATCAAAACAAAAACAAATAAAATCTAAAAAGCAAGCACCATCTGAATTTGAGGCACAGTTATTAGAATGCTTAAAGTCTAATCAACTGGAGCTAGAAAGTGAGGATTTGGCTTTCTTTCAGTCTCTGCAGCCTTCATTAAAAAGATTCACTAGATATCAAAAACTAATGTTCAGAACAAAAGTGTTAAATATAGTTATGGAAATGGAAAGTCAAACACAACCTGCATACTACAGTCCCATACCTACAACAAGTTCTAGTGCTTTTACTGAGCTTGACAGTTTGTCACCGATAAATCAAGATTACCAAACCAATAGTATAATCCAGGATACTTCGAGTCTTAACGACAATGCTATTAGTTCTGCTGCAGTGAATGACAATGAAACTCTTATTTCGACTGAAAGCGGCCTGTTTAATATCACGTCTTATGACGTAATTTATACCCCAGCAACAACATCATCTACAGGCGAAAGTAATGTCAACGCTCAGGATACAAATTTACAAAGAAATGAATGATGTAAAATTTGATTTTTTAATTTATGAATAAAACTCTTTTTATTAAAATGAGTACGATTAACTTTTTTTCTCCAGTTTCTCTCTAATTGTTTGTTTAGTCATATGAGTGCGGTTGTACACACGGCACAGATCAAGTTACTCAAATCCAGTATAAGCGGGACTCCGACGGGTTACCTAAGTATGATAATACGCAAGGCGCGAGTTCCATTTATGCTGGTTTTGGGTAACTTGATCTGTGGCCATGTGTACTTTATCAGATAAAAAAAGGATTGTGTATGTAGGTTGAACGTACCAATCCCAAACCAATTAAGGACTTTTTTTGACTTTAAATTACTGTCATGTGCAAACCTATAACTTTTATCTATATTATAATAAGTAGCGTGTGATGAAAGGTAGGAATGATTCCACTTTAATGGCGACATTTTATGAGTGAAATAATCTTATTTAATGAAATTTCAACATGAAATTGAATGAAATTATGAACAATGAAATTTCAGAGTACATGACAAAATTTTTTTTTGCACATGTAAATTTACACATGACAGTAATTTGAAGTCAAAAAACGTTTATCCTACCTGTTCAAATCCCTTTCCACTAAATCATAGCAGGAAATTAAATATTTAAAATTTAAAACTTACCTTAATGTAATAGCGAGCCTCTCAATCGGTTGTATTGTAATCCTTCGTAAACTGCTTTTTTGTAGCTTATTCTCAATTTTACACAACAGTTCATCAAAAGAACGAATGGACATTCGAAAGTAATTTTTAAATTTACGTTCATTATTTTGTAGTTTTCCAAAGCGTGTAACAAACGCCCCAGCAAGAAGCCTATTTTCAAGAAAGGGATCAACATGTACTCTTGTCTTCTTGTTTCGTCGTTTGTAAAGTATGTAAGCGACACATATTCTTCTGACATTGATCATTTTTGAACACGTCTATACCGTTACGCAGCCCGTAGAAAACTGAAACTCATGCTGCGTATGATCCGCAGCGTGAAATTTTACGCATGCGGTCCAATCCCGCGTGCGTGAGCAAATCCGCGTGACACTAAAAGCGCCCTAACGAATAATAAGGCTATATCGCTCAATACGCATAACTAGAGCAAGCGAGCCAGATAGACAAAATATTTATGACCCATCTAAACTGATTATAACAGCGGGAATATAATAAAAAGACCACATAAACAAGCTTCAAGCATAATTTTGTGAAAAGCGAAAATCATATTGTTAAAATACAAATTTAAGGCACATTCAGGTAACAATGGTCATTGGGATTTTTCAAATATATAAATAAGTATACTCACACGTAAAAACTTTTTGCATCGGAAACTGTCGTATATAAAGCTGACATGAAGTAGCCATTTACCCGTGGCCAAGGCACATACCATCATTCCTGTAAATGTATCATTTGGCAGAACCGAAATAAAATGTGTTGCCATCATTTCCATTTTTGTATTTTCTGCTACTACGCCACCTAATTCGTTAATCATGGCAACAATGCGGTCATGGTCCTGGAAGTAAATTTTCATATATTTATGAAGTACCGCTATTTTCTTTATTTTGTAAATTATAGGGTGTACTACAATACTACCAGTACTACACTCGGTGGCATCCTGCTTTTCTATTGTTAGATATTGGGTATGGTCAGTGCTAAATCTTTATAATATATAATTCTTTGGTATGTGTTTATCATTGAACTCCTCCTAAGCGGCTGAACCGATTTTGATGACATTTTTTGTGTGTTTGAGTGAGTCACTGGATGGATTAGATTTACAATTGGACCCAGTAGTTGAAGCCACCAGTTATAGATATAAATTCAATACATATTTCTATTAATATTAATGCAGTGGGCTTGGTAAGATTGTCATGGAATCAACCATTACAATCTCAGTAATTACGGATAAATTTTATGACGAATGCTATCAAAATGAAGGAGCCGGATTAATGTTTCATCGTCAAATTTATTCTTTACTAGCTTTTTACCCGCGGCTTCGCTCGCGTGCGCTTGAATTTAGGAACATCATTAAATGCTGTTCCGTGCCAAATTTAGAAAAATTCGATCACTTTTAGAGTCACCTCGGTGGCTATGTCTCTATGTCTGCCAAAGATTTTTTCATTCTAAAATACTATTAGACGTAGATGATTGGTAAAATGCTACAGAAACACGTGAATATATATGTCTAGAAACTCCTACTATTTTTTTATATCGGGCGTGTCTTCCGATTCCGATGTATCCATAAGAAAGGTAAATAGTCCTGAAGTCAAAATGTATTATTATTATTTACATTTTACTCTCTACATTTATTTATAGTTAAAGTTAATTTAGTTTTAACAAAGTATTATAATGTTTATTTGAGACATCTTATTCATATCATTGGTCCTATTTAATATTGATTGGCACCATAAAAAAAAAAGTAGATATTTTTTTTAACTTCGAGTAGACTTGAAAATTTCATAAATACAGTTCTATAATAATGAATACTACACATGAATTAAAACTAACGTTACGCGTTTTTTTACGCATCTTGGATGAAAGTTCCGAGTAAAATAACATATCGTTGATGTGAAGCACCGAAGCTCCAGGAAGTCTAAAGTATGTCAACATGTTTAGTATCGTCCCAACCATTATATCGGACCTGATAAACAACAAATCCTTGGAATAGAACACCGAATCCTACCAATGATGATTCGCGAGGCTATTGAAATTAAAAATATCCTAATTTTAATAGGGAAGATGGCTGAGTGCTACCATCTGCTAAGGACCCCATAATTAATAAAATTAAATTCAAACTACTACTGCATTTATTCTATTCTATTTTAACTATGACATCAGGTCGTCAAACACCTCAGTTCTCCCGCCCCTCCCGTGATCATGGGTGCTGTAAAGTGTCCAAAACATTGGGAATTTAAAAAGTTAAAATTAAACGCGATAATATCCTTAAAATTATTTTTATTCCTTATAAATATTATTCACAGTGAAAGTGAGGAACACTACACTCATGAACGGGAGTAGAAAAATGTTCGCCCTGTTGTGGCGGTGAAAGAAAATCCACCACCTCATATCGTCCCGTCGTAAGAGGCGACATAGGAAAACAAACTGGAGATGGGATGGGCTGCATCATCTTCTTGACAACAGATCAAAATAATAATAGCTGCGGTTGCCAATCTGCATTTTAACTTTTACCCTCATCTTTGCAAGCCTTAATATTTACTGTAGAATGAAAACTAAAAGCAACATACTCGAAAACACGAATAAAATAAAAACAGCATATATTGCCCCATGAAAAGTAAAAAAGTAGCAGCTTACATGTTACTAATAATAGGCACAGGCCACAGAGTTTTTAGCCAAAAAAGTGTTCGCTGCGCTGATTCCAACTCGGGATGAATGTAATGTTAATGATTCAATTATTTACATCGTATATTCAGTAGCATTGTATTATTTCATTTTATCAATGACTTGCCATTTTAGTTTATTTAGTAGTAAGTAGATGGCGCTAATATTAGATGAAATAATGAAAGCCAAAACCATACCATCTAGTAATATAAGCAATAGAAGCGAACATTTATTTATTATATCAATAAGGGATAAAGTGAAGTCAATTCTCTTAAAAGTTTGTTTCTGTTAAAAAATACGCTATCAGCGTCCCTAGTGGTGAAAAACGATTTAATGATATCGTCATATGACCATATTATAAAATAGCAACGTTGTGTTTAGTTATAACTATCTTCAAACGATTTCTATTCATTGATTTGGTAAAGCTATATCATGACATGGTCAACAAATAGCGTTAAATATCACGAAATGACCACACCATTTCACGAAACGATAGACTACTTTATGATATATGATTAATTCTACGATCTGGCCACAACATCCATAAAAATCTCTTGAATAAAACTATAATGATAATGAAAATTTTGCAACAGTTGCAAATTTCAACAGTGGTCACCGGAACCGGTGCCACGCGGCAGCTTTTGCTGTCGCAAGGATGGGCAGGCTCGAACCGGGGTGGTACCACGACCTCACAGAAAACCAGCGTGAAGTAGAAGTTTACCTCTGCGTTTCGCTTGGTGAGTGCAGGTGCCCGGAGGCCCTTTTTACTGGAAATGAGGCATTCCATCTTAGTCCTCACGAGTGACAACGCATCTACATTTTGATTTGTAATAGAGGATAGATGTAGATGTCTATGGGCCGCAGCAACCACTTACCATCAGGTGGACTGTGTGCTCGTTTGTCATCCTTATCCTATAAAAAATGCAGACAGACCAGTTTTAATCACTTTACATATATATTAGTAATTCAAATAAATACCTTATCAATTTTTATATTTATGATAGACGTCACTATTATCTATTGAAATTATTACACTTTAAAAATAAAATAACAAAAATACCAAAACGTTAACTAAAACTAAACGTTAGAGTTTTTTAATAATTTTAAAAATCTAATAATTTAATCATATAAATGTAAGTTATTTATATAATTAGGGACCTTCAAGAAAAGAGCGTACTCCTTTTTAAAAGGCCGGCAACGCATCTGCAATTCCCTCCCTGGTGTTGCAGTTGTTCATGGGCGGCGGTAGTCACTTACCATCAGGTGAGCCGCATGCTCGTTTGCCCCCTCTCCTATAAAAAAAAATAATTTCATTTATTAGTAACTGAAGGCAAAATATACTACTTTTTCCATTTGATGATAGATGGCGCTGTTTTGAATACCAAATCGGTTTAGTTTCAAATTAATTTACCAAGATTATAACTATATTTTAAACTTTATTTACAAATATGGTATTTATTTGAAAAACACCCGTCATCCCGCCTATAACTAAGATATAATAGAAAACTAACATCTAAAGGAAATAAAATACTTAACCTTCCTTTTTTGAAGTTCCGTAATCGGATAAAAAGTAGCCTATAAGTTGCCCCGGGTTACTCACTACCTATATACAAAATTTCATGTAAATCGGTTCAGTAGTTTTTACGTGAATCCGGAATACACAGACAGACAGACAGACAGACTGAAAGACAGACAGACAGACAAAAATTCTAAAACCACTAATTTGGCTTCAGAACGCTTTATTTAGTCCCCTGGACTTGTTTTTTCAAGAATATATTAGAATTACAGACACGACTTTTCTACAGATTTATTATATGTATAGACTAGTAAGTAAATTTTGAAATTGCCGTAGTGCCCACACTAGGCATGCCTGTATCGTGGGGTCCCAATTCCCAGAGATATACATGTAAAGATTTCCCTCCAGCACTACACAATTATTTAACTAAGGCTAATTAAGTAATCTGCTAAGAAAACAATCTAATAGTCTGTTAACTTCTATGACATAAATAATACTATGTTATGTATGTATATGTATATTTATGATATATATGTTACTATATGAAAAATAATACAACTATTTAGTACATATACTAATAATAATAATAATATTGATATTTTAATAAAATTAGTATATACCTATAAATATGTATGCATTTATAATATGAAATTATAGAAATCAATTTCTTTGTCTCTTCGTATGTGAGTTTATGAAGCCATTTGTGAATTTGCACCTATGTCTCTAGCATTTATTTAAAATGAATGCCACACACAAAACTGTATTGTAAATTAAAACTGATAGAATTAGATAAAAACGTTGACCAAACTTAGTACGGCAAACAGGGACTGGAACTCGAAAACGACGACGTGTAGTAATTTCACAGTATTCCGGGAACAAGAGAACTGTTTTGTGCACAATTAAAATTTGGCTGCAGCAACCTGCCCATTTAGATTTTTAACAATTTTTCGTTTTACAAATCATCTACAAGTTTTTCAGTTGTAATATAGGTCACTCCTGGCATTGCTTTCTATTCTGTTTGTGAAGTTTTTGATCACAATCGGTTTAGCCATTCCGAAGATTAGTCCTGACAAAAACACATATATAGAAGACAGACAAAAAAATTATTAATCATGTCTTCTTGGTATGCAAATAGCCCCCCGAGGTCAATAAAAGGCAGTTATTTTGATATATACAAATAGACACTTAAATTTTATTAAAATGTATATATTTTGTTACGTATAAAATTTAAAAAAATTACTTGTATCATTTCCAGGACTAGTCCTGCAAAACCATCTAATTTGCTACTAATGATTCACAAAGTGAGTGTTTCTTTAATCTGTAGGAAATACTTATAATTATTTAGAAATATTACATTTTAGTATATCTAGTATGTAACAGAAGCAGAAACTTTTTTTATTCAATATCGATTATAAATAATATCTACTTATTGACAGTCACTCTTGTAACTAGCTTATTATATCAGAAAAAAAATGATCATCATAAAAATAACTTACATGAATAGACTCTGATAACATGAAAATTTTCTTGTCACATGCACAAATCAAGTTCTGTTTCATTTTCCATGATTCTTCTGAAGTACCACTTGGAGAATTGTAATCACTATCTGTAAATGGTGTCAATGTGCTTAAACCTCATAGAATAATAATAACTCCTACTGGTGAACATGAATCTCTTTCACTATAGGGATGATTTGCCATGATCTCCATTCTTGGCAGAGAGTGGTGATGGTAGTACCAGAAATCTTGCAGTTTTGACACAACTCCCCATGACCTGCCTGGATATTGTTCACTGGCATGAAGAGGGTGACTATACTACTTACTACACTAGAGATCCATCTATATATTTGCGATGATATCCATGGAATGAAATGTTTAATGGATTCCACCACTTACGTGTCGCATAATACAACATATTACAAAAATAATATTACTGTATATTCTAATGTAAAATAACAAATTTTAAATATTTACCTGATGTAGCTTCAGGAAATGTAGCCCTTATAGTACATGTAGCAGTCTTGGAATTTATGGGGGCATAATTATTAGACTTCTTTTTAAGTCTGTAGTTTTCAATGTATTTTCGAAAAGGCAAATAATTTGATGTTTTAGCCTTACTGGATTCTATCCAGTTACGAAAGCTGACCTTTTTTGGAGTACTATGCTTACTAGATGGTCTAAAAATAGGATAAAATTACAGTATTTGTTAAATTTATTAAAGAAATATAAATATTCCCAACACAAAAATGTTTATAGTAGCAGTTCAATTTGTTTATTATTAAGCAAATATTCAGTACCATTAATAATATCTTGTTAGTATGTTAACGAGCTTCAGAAGAGGTGATGATGCACCAGGCATGCCAATATTCTAGTTACACTCACTCGCTCCCTAGTTTGGAAAAAAACGATTTAAATGGACTTGATTTTGATGTTTCTTTGTCCTCAACTTTTCGGCATTCAATCTCCTGGTATATGTCTTCAACAGACCAACCAATTTGACGTCGCACGAGTTTTGGTTTCCTCGTTTTTTCTATTGTTGGAGCGAAATCTACACAATCCTCTCCTCTATCAAATGGTGACCTTACTACCTTGAAATGAGCATCTTTTAAATGTTCTAAATAAATTAATTTCTCTGTATAAATTTCATGGCACAAAGGACATACAAAATGTTGTAATTTTACATTAGTAGTACATTTGTTCAAATGAATAACATAGTCATCATAATTGTCATATTTTTCTTCACAAAGTACACAAGGCACCCGAATGTGTGATGGTTGGTTATCAGATTGCAAACTAGATTTACCGGGTGTTGTTGGTGGCGTAGTATCTGTAGCAACTAGCGTCTCATCACTACCCGAGCCAATTCCAGAACCAGTACTAGAATTCTGCATCTCGTTACGTTCAATAGTACAAGTAACATTGCAAGTGTGTGCTCCAAAGTTGTTGTATGATTGGCTACAATACACACACTTAACAGAATCTACATCACTGTCAGTTTCATCACTTATTTCGTCAATGGTTTTTAAGTGGGATTCTCTGTGACAGTCTCTGATAATATTTTGATCATTTTCACCTTCTGCTGAACTATTTTCGGAATGTAAATGAAAGTCTTGACTATAAAACCCATTGAAGTGTGCAGTGGATGGCTTGTCTATCTCTTCTTCTGCAAAGAAAAATAGATAACACATAACCATAACACACTTAAACATATGTATTATATAAGTATGTAAAAGTTTTATATATATATATATATATATATATATATATATATATATATATATGTATATATACGTCCCACAGGTGGCCACATTTACACAGATTAGTATACAGCGCTGCTCCAGTGCATGCACGCATACTTTATGTTTTTCAAAATATTTTGTTCCTCAGCTATCCTGCATATCTTTCACAATGTTTTTCTTCATTATGTGATAAATCAGCACTTAAAATTGCAATTAACAATTTTATTGGTGCCAGTAGGGATCACTCAGGTTCTGAAATTCACGTTGAGTGTTTATTCCCTAAGATCTCACACACACCTGAGTAGTTTAGTTTACAATGGATTGTTCACACAACTGAGTATCACACAGTCTTTAGAAATTAATCTTTGATAAAATATTGATAAATACCTGGACATTTATGAAGTAAAGTATTAGTCCTTTCACATTGCAGTTTAAATAAATAAGCGGAACTTAAGTTTTCCACACAAGTTGTACATACACGGTCTGAAAGACCGTCACCTTCATGAATCTAAAAAAAATAAAAAATACACTGTTATGAGAAAAGTATAAATAAATGAAAGAGATAGAACACAGAGTAGTAATAGACAGTAGCATAATAGCAGGGTGTTGACCACGAACTCAAAAGGGAGTGGCTTTGAATTTGCCATTCGACTACTGCTGTGAACAACTAACACAAGCATTTTTAGCACACCAGTAGTGATCAAGGAGAATATAAGTAATGTTAATAGCATTGCTGGTTTTTTCTATTATTTCGGTCTACACTTTGCGCAGAGCTTTAAAGATGGTTACCATACATTTTAACTGTTAAAATAAACAGTTTAAAAATTAAGAAATCTATACAAATAAATAAAATTGAAGTGTCAGTTTGTAATGTCGAAATAACAGCTTTTTACTATATGCATATGAAAGTATATACGGTACTTATAACAAAAGCACGATTTTTAAAATTTTTGTCTGTCTTTTTGTTCCGGCTAATCTCCAAAACGGCTGGACCGATTTTGACCGAACTTTTTCTGGCATATTGCTGATGTTATAAGAAGTAACTTAGGCCACTTTTATGTTAGAAAACCATGAAATCCAATCCCGTAATAAATTACGCGCGGGCGAAGTCGCGGGGAACAGCTAGTTTATTAAATAAGTAAAATTAATCATATTGAATAAAATCATCACATTCAATCCATTCGTTAAAAATCCACAATTCCATAACTTCATGGCATCTAACATCTATTTTACGTAGGGTCGTTGCGCTGGTTTTCGGCCTTTTAGTGGAGTTGTTAACTTTAAGCTACTAGAAAAAATAATTGCCGTTATGCTGGACTAGTGCTGTTAATTTTAATTTGTAGCTTACATAATGTAGTTTTCATTTTAGTAACTCATTGGTGCTACAAGAAAAAGGTCTTTTTTGTTATAATTTTTGATGTGAAAAATATGTCAAATGCTAGTTTTCGGCCCCAAATTTTAAATTTCGGCCTACAAGAATTTTAGTTTTAGGCCACTGAATTAGAGACGATAGAAAAGATGCCTTAATATAATTGTTGTAAAATTATAATAAAATTTCGTGTCGTTAAATATGGCAATCAAAATCTTCTCATTTTTTTGTACTTCCTCATATTTTCATCATCATCATCATCATCATTACAGCCCTTCACAAGTCCACTGCTGAACATAGGCCTCCCCCAAGGAATGCCACAAAACACGGTCCTGAGCCACCTGCATCCATCGACTTCCTGCATGTCTTACCAGGTCGTCACTCCATCTAGTGGGGGGACGCCCTACACTTCTTCCGCCGGTACAAGGCCGCCATTCGAGAACCTTTTTCCACATTGGTAGTCGGTTCTTCGAGCTATATGGCCGGTCCATTGCCACTTCAGCTTACTAACCCGTTGGGCTATGTCGGTCACTCTGGATCTACTACGGATATCCTCATTTCTAAGTTTATCATGCAGAGAAACTCCGAGCATAGCCCTCTCCATAGCTCGCTGAGCAACCTTGAGCTTCCTCATCCGGCCAGCAGTGAAGGACCACGTCTCAGTTCCATAGGTCATCACTGGCAACACACACTGGTTTTACATTCTCGTTTTCAAGTTTTGAGGTATACCTGACGAGAAGATGTGCTGTAATTTTCCGAACGCTGCCTGATATTTTAGTCCAACAAAATCTATACATCTCAAATCCATTTGGTGCAAAAGTCAGATCCAATTTTTTTCCATATCTTCTTCTTGTTAAAATGTCATAACACCAGGTGCAATTTACTCTTAGTCTTTCATTTTCCTTCATGGAATTCTTGGATTTTGCGATTTTTCGTTTTTGAACTTAAGCACTTTTTAACTTTTCTTTTTATATTCTTTTCTTTTTCAAAATATCTTATCTTTTTTAACTTAGTTCTAACTTCTCTATTTTAACTTTCTTTTTATCTTTATAAAGTTTTCGCCACTCTGCATATCAAATTGCTACAGAAGAAGATATACATGTACTGTTAATTGTTGATTTTTTTCCGAGAGCTCCGGTTTAAATGTCTTTTCTATCGCATCGCTGTATTCTTTATTTAATAGTACTGAAGCCGATGTTTCACTAGTTTGTAGAGGTGCACTAGTCTGTTTTATTGGAATATCAACCAGCACATTTTCTAAAGTTTCAAAGGCGTTGTTTGTTATCATCGGTGTTAGTGGTGGTGGTATCATCGTGGCCATTGTACTACTTTGAGTCGTTATTATTGCATTACTGGAATCTATTACCATTTCTGGCTTTGTCAGTACTGTTGTCATTGGTAGGCTTATTTGAGTTGGGATTACAAGAACATCATCTAATGATACTAAGGAACCAATATCCAAATAACTTCCTGACAAATGCAATGTTGAAATGTTGTTATCGATAAACGATTCTAATGCATCGGTAGATGAATCCGTAACTATTACTAGAACATCGCCAACCATGTTTTTTTCTGCCAGATTTGATTTTAAATGTTTCAAAACTTTTCTTGTAGAAACTAGGTCTGCATTAGTTATTTCTTTAGAAGTATATTTTTTCTCGTGTCTGAATTTTCACTAATTAGTCTTTTCGGGGTATTCCGGACATATTTTGAGTATTCCACTACATTATGATCAAATTCATTAAGGCCATATTTTCTGAAACCATTTACTAATTATATTTCTTTGGAGGAGCCATCTGAAGAAAATAATGTGTTATTGAATCTTCTTCCTAAAACGCAACGTGAATGAAATATTTCATGAAATGTCCGTCAACCAAAGCAGTATTCAATTTTCGGCTTCCCTATTCTTTCATACAATTTTAAGTTAGCCGAAAACTAAATAATAATTTTAGACTCAATCTAGTTTTCGGCCACAACTAAAATGGGTATTTTAGTTACTTCACTAACCATTCCAATTGTAGTACTTGGTGACCGAAAACTGAAAGCTAGTGTCTTCGCAAGGATACAATTCATTATAAATAATAAAGAAGACTAATAGTAGGTAACCAAATAAATGAAAGAGACAAAGTATTTACGCTAAACTCGGGCTACTTTCCGGCCACATGGCCGATAACCAAATAATAGGAAAATTTTATGTGTTACTTTCCGGCCACCTAACTTATTAACTTTCACAATAAAATATTATAGTAATCTATGTGAAAATTTAAAATTAAGTTATTAATACAGTGCAATATAAGCACAATATTAAATAATCATTGTAAATACAGCGCAAAATTTACTTTTGAGTGAAACGCGGGCCTCTATTTTTTTTTTTTGCACGATCTTACAGTAGTGTGGCAATATATAATGCAACTATTTACAAATGCATTAAACTTAATTTTATACGATAATATTTATTAAAATCGTTATCAAATCAAATTTACTGCATCACCTGGTGCCAAAGGCCGAAAACTAGACCCGGCCGGCTTACCGGCGCAACGACCCTACCACCTTGAGAGTCAATCAAGTTTTGTTCAATAAAATGATTTTACCTATGGAATGAAGTAGATAGAGCTATTACAAAGCAACTTTTTGATTTAATACACTAAATTTTGGACTAAAATATCTAAAAATAAGGATTGTAACATCTATTTACTATAAAATTAAACTTTTATCTTATACTAGCTGTTCCCCGCAATTTCGCCCGCGTGAAATTTATTACGATTGGATTTCAATCTTTTTGCGCGGAACCCTAATTATTTTTCCTAAGTTACTCCTCATAAAATCAGCTATCTATTAGTGAAAGTCCCGTCAAAATCGGTTCAGCCGTTTCGGAGATTAGACGGAACAAACAGACAGACAGTAAAAAATTTTAAAAATTGTTTTTTTGTTATAAGTACCGTTTATACCGGGTGTCCAGTAAGGGTACCGGGTATTTGACAGTTAAATAAAATGAGAAATATAATTAATTAAATATATCCTTTATTTTTAACTCAAAAACAGTTTCTTGGAAATTTATTTGGTGAATATAACATTATCTAAATGTGTACCCCCACACTGCTGGCACTCCTCTAAACTTGAACGCAGGTTGGCGACGACGCGTTGACAAAGCGAAGTTGGGATTGCCCTCATCTCTGACGTGATGTTCTCCTTCAATTGACTCAGATTCGTTGGGTGGTTATCGTATACCTTACCCTTAAGATATCCCCATAAAAAATAGTCGAGAGGACTAAGATCTGGACTTCTGGGGGGCCAATTAATGGTACCCCTACGCGAGATAATTTTGTTTGTGAACAATTCCTTTATAGCTTCTATTGACGTCCCTGCGGTGTGGCATGTGGCTCCATCTTGCTGAAACCATGTTCTTGAATTAAAACCTGGGAAATCTTGTAATGCGGGCGCCAAAAAAGTCCTTAACATGTCACAATAACGGTCTGTATTCACCGTAACTGCTCGCCCACATCTGTCTTCATGGAAAAAGGGCCCGATTATGCCTCTACCAGAAAAGGCGGCCCAAACGATGACCTTTGGACTATGAAGAGGCCGTTGATGTTTTGTTTTGGGATTTTGCTTGGACCAGTAGCGGCAATTCTGTTTATTAACGTGACCGTTAAGGTGGAAATTGGCCTCGTCGCTAAACAGAATATTGTCAAAGCTGTTGAATCCCTCTAGCATTTCAGTAGCAAAATTTAACCGACTTTCATAATCGGAATCCTTCAGTTCTTGGACTAACTGGATTTTGTAGGCTGTGAGATGCAAATCTTTCTTCAAAATTACCTGCAGTGAAGATTTTTTGATGTTTAGTTCTTGTCCTCATTTGCGAATTGATACCGACGGATTTTCACGTACTGAAACTCTCACTTCTTCGATTGTTTCTGCATCTCTAATGCTTCGCGGGCGAGCTGTATTTTGAATTTTAACAGTCGACCCGGTATTCTCGAACATTTTAATCCACTTTCGTATGACATCGTCGCTTGGCGCTGTACGTGTGCGATATTCTCTGCGATATAAACGCTGAGCAGTAACAATGGAATCGTTATTGCGATAATACGCTCGCACGCAAAAAGCGCGATGCGTTCCGGGATACGGCTCCATGGCAA